AGTTTTAATTTCTAAAATAAATTAAAGTTTCAAATTTAAAGTAAATATCTCATTTTATCTAATTAAAATTTAATTTAAAATTTAAAATTTTATCTTATTAAATATTAACATTTAGGTTTAAAAAGTGGTTTTATTCTAATATACAATTAATTTTAAAATCGAAATACCAACATTTAACAGGGTAAATTTTTACATGTTGCATTAAAATTTTAGTTTTTAAATATAAGTTGAGATTTTATTTTTATTTTTTAAATTATTTTATTTGTATATTATATAATTCAAATTCATCACTTTTTGTTTCTAAGAAGATTACTAAGAATTACTTAGTTCTTTAACTTTTTTGAAAATTAAATTATTATTTTGTTAGATAACATTAGAATCTAAGCAATTGGCTTGACTAATTTCTTTCTTAGTACTTGCCAACTGCACGTTGACAGGTAACATAAGGATCCACCTTCAAAGTCATAGATATAACCTATTGAAATTGTTTGTATCTAAATAGCCTTGAAAAATTTGAACCTGCATGTACAATATGATTTAAACAATTTCTTATTCATTTGAAACTCAAGGGGTTAATTAATTTAATTTTTGTTAGTATATGTAAAACTATTTTAATTTTTTTTGTTCAAATTTCTAAAGCATATTGATAAATAAAATTAGAAGAGATATTTATTTATTTATTTATTTTAAGAAAAAAGAAAGAGATTACCAAAGAACAAAAGTCTGCAAACTTGATTATTGAGTGTATGAGATTACCAAAGTTATAGGAGGAATTAGGGATTTCAGAGAAGGATCAAGAAAAAGGGGAGGATGGAGAGGAGAAAAAGAAGAGTGAGTCCAGAGAGAACCAGAAGAGGAGAACTAAGAATAGAAATTGAAGGGATGGAATTGTATAATCTTCAATAAGCAATGATCAATTACCCAATTTATAATCTTTTATATAGTCATTTGATACCAATGGATTACTAAGTATTATTCACTACTAATTACACCTAATCCATGTTAATTGTCAATTAATTGTGAATTAATATTCTTTGAACAATTTAATTCGTACATCTCAATGCTTCTACCAATATATCTAACAATATATGTATAATTAAACCAATCTAAGTCCCTCACAATTTCAAAGTTAGTTGTTTGTCATGTATCATTTAAAATATCTTTAGTTTCTTCCAATGTCTTAGTAATGTACAACAATGGATTAAAAATGCAAATATTGAAGAGATATAAAAAGCTCTCAGATATAAGGTGGAAGTCGGCATTGAATAACATAGTTGTCTAATAATTCTAAAATGCTGTTCTTCATTAATTTATTGTGAAATATAAGGTGGAGGTGGGCATTGAATAACATAGTTGTCTAATAATTCTAAAATGCTGCTCTTCATTAATTTATTGTGAAATATATGCTAATGCAGTTTTTATGGTCAAACATGATTGATTAAGTTGGCAACTGATTGATATTTACAATTCTCGTGAAATTTGAAACTAGAAATTCTCATTTCTTCTTTTCTCTTTGTTCCTGTTTTTGGTTAGTAAAAAATGGAAAAACAGTGCTTAGCCAGACTCCAGTGAAGGGGTACATGCATAATATGAAGTAAACTACCGGCTCCACATTGATATGAAGTATTTAGCTTCTTTTTTTTTTTCTTTTTCTTTTAAGGGTATGCAAATAATTTTTTTATACAATTTTTTTATATAATTTTTATATGTTTTTGGTATAATGAAAACTTAGTAATTTGATGACACATATATTTAAACTTTTAACTCTAAATTAAAATTTTTAAATTAATGGTACTAACTTGGTGAAGCTTTTATTGGTGTAACTTTTACATATATTAATGAGTATAATATCATGAGACGTCTGTCAACAATCTAAATAATTTAATAATTATTTTCTTTCGCTGGAAGTAAGAGGTTATGAGTGCAAGTCGCATGGCATGCGAGTAAAATGGAACAAGAGATGTGAGAAGATTGCCTCCCATTATACAATCAATATAAAAAAAAATTATATATATATCATTAGACGTCTCAATAAAGTGAAAAAGTTAATAATAAAATAATAAGTAAAATTGTATAAAAAAGCATAAAAAATTATTTTTCAATCATTTTTTTAAAATTATACTGTGATAAGTATTCACATCTTTGATTAATTTTTAATAGGATATTTGTTCATATTAGTTGTATGAGTATATATTCGTAGTCATTTCAAACTTAAATATTGAACATATAACCACATATAATGATCTGTTTTAAATTATTTTATCTAAAGATGGTGGGGAATAGCATATTAATATTATGGGTTAATAATTCTAAAACGTACTCCATTTATTTATTTTTAATAAATCTAATTTAATTTTTTAAAATTTTAAATATAAATTTTAGATAAAAATTTAATCATTTATATGACCAATAATTAAAAAGTTTTTTCTTCTTATATGAAGTTTTTGTGAAGTACTTTATTTGATCAAACAAAAAATTTCAATTATAATTTGTATAATAAGTTAAATTATCTAACTAAATCTATTAAAAATAAATGGAGAAAGTATGTTGTTCATTAATTTAGAGTGAACTATATAGTAGTGCAGTTTTTATAATCTATCATGATTAATTAATTCTTTTAGTTGCACCAACCCTTATAGGTCAATTGGTTGATGCACCAAATGCCTTGACTGATACCAAAAAAAAAAAAATGATTCTCTAAGTTAGTTGCTGAAATTTTATACAGAAAGAGCACAAGACTCCGGACTACACCGCAACTTCTATTCAACTCCAGATGCTTCTTTCGATATAAAGAACACATGATAATAATCGCACAACACCTCAAAACAATGACTTCACACATGCATTTTATTTCACACTATTAGAACATCAATAATAACCTACCAATTGTAAGGAGCGAAACTTGTTTAAAATTCTTGATTTCTTCCAATATCTTATTAATATCTTCTCTCATAAAACCAAATGGTATTTTGTTTTTGCCTTTAACTCAACTGATGTAAAATGTAAATGATGAAAAGTTTTTAGGAAGATAACATCTGAGATGCAGGTGGTTAACATTTCTTGTTGCATTCATTTATGGTGAAATAGTAATACAGTTTCCATGATATGTCATACCAATTAAGTTGCATACTGAATACACTCACATTAGAAAATTCATTTAGAGTAATTCCTTGTTAAATTATTTTTTATATTTATAAAAATTATAAATTTATTATGATGTTTTTCATTTTTCTTTATGAGAAAGCAAATATCATTAATTACACTGAAAAATATAATAAGGATATAACAGAACATTATGCGGCTGCCTCCAAATCCCACCCAGTCCCTCAATTTATTATGATGTTAGTATAATCCACACTAATTGACAAGGATTGGTAGTTCCTTTAGCAAGCAGATTTGCTATAATGACACATTATTTACAGTATTTCACTGGGATTTACCACATTAGATAGTGGAATTAACTAACTTTTACACCAAAAACAATCTAAACTATGGTTTTTACTAGAACGAATTATAGAATAAATAATGAGGTTTACAATTTCTACATATTAATTTTTTGGACTACGAATCTAGAGTTTAGTTTTTAGTCTTTAATGCAAAAAATACAT